AGGTGCGTCTGAGTTGCTATATGGGTGCTACTTTTCTTGATTTGATTGACTATTCAAAGGTATTGGTATTTTTTTCTAGAACCATCGAGGAAAAAGTAGCTAATTAAGTGATCGGTGTGATCATTTTTTTTTAAGTTTCCACCCCTGTAGGATATTATTTCATATTTTATTTTTATTATTGAATCTCTATAATTGGATAGCTGAACATCGCAACACGACGAATCAATCTAGCGTCAGTGGTAATAACTGACCTGGTATCCACTTCATAGTCTTTTGACTATGTCTTTCACTAATTTGCATGATCTAACAACTGTATAAGTAAATAAATTATAAGGGGACGGGTAACGAACTCATAAAGAAAAAATCCTTAGTAATACTTTTTGTGTGAATAGGAAGCGCCCAGGCACTTTTTACGCCCTTACATTCTCCTTTTTCCCCTGTGGCGAACACCGCCTGACCCCCTATCACGTCATCCTACTGAATCAAACCACCCCCCACCCCCTCTCGAAGAGGGACGGGTAGTCCCCGAATACGCCGATACTACGAATTCCTCAGATTTTGCCGCATCATATCCCGAAGCTTATAGAGCGCGGCAAGCTGCTCATCGGCGGCCCTATTTCCCGTGGAGCGGTGCGTGGGCGCGTACGGGTTCGACTCCGCCGTCCCCCCGCCACAGGACGAGCCCGACTGGTCCGTGGGGGTTGGCCATAACCGCGGGCTGCTCTGCCCGGCCGAGCCGGCCCTCTCGTTGGCCCCTGGCGACAACGGCCGCCCGCCGGAGGCCGGGGCGTCGAGCGGCTGGAGGTGAAAAGGCTTCAGGCTGGAATGGCCCAACAAGGCCGGCCCCACCGCGGGGGAAGGAGGGGAATGGTGGGGCTCCGGCGAACTCGAGAACGGAGGGCCTCGCGCGTTCGCGGTGGGTCCGGGCACCCCCCACGCCGATAACGGCGCCGCAGACGCCGACAACGAGGAGGGAATCCCGGGCGGGCTGTACGTCATGGGCGTCCGCACGGAGTTCAACCCGGTCGCCGACGCCGATGGGGCGAATAGAACGGCGCTGTTGGGGAGCGCATTCGATAAGAGCTTTTCCGGTATCGCTAGGCTGTCAAGCGATGTGTTGTTGGTAGTCGCGGCGCCGTTTAAAGTGGTCGCGGGTGCTGAGGACGGGTGCTTGATTTGGATGTTGCCGCTGCTGCCCAGACGGTTCGACATCGTGGTGGCGATGGCGTTATTTGGCGGATTAGGGACTTCATTTTCGGAAGGACTCACACGCGTGTTTTGGACAGCCATCTTCACCTGCTTCTTTCGTGTTTTGAACCATTGCTCGAAATCCCGAGTTACCTGCTCCTGTGAGTGTTTCATAAAAGCGTGCATGCCATCAATCGTTTCCCTTTCTTGCCGGAGCTCCGCCGCCAGAGCGTTATAGCACTCTCGGGTAGAGCCGAGCTGATCCATCAAGCGCTGCTCCTCGGGGTCGACAAGTTCGATGCCGTCGACTGCCCGCTCCGCACGTAGTCGCTGGATTTGTTGTTTGAGATTTTTCATCGTATCCACGCTCTGGTTGAGCTTCTGGGCCGTTTCTTTGCATACGACATAGGCGGCTTTTAGTTCCTGCTTTGTGGTTTCAATCTTGATGTAATTCTTGTAAGAGCCCTTGAAGGCCTCAAAAGCCGCCGCACGGTCTTCCACAAGCTGGGAGTCCGAAAGAGCCGACAAATCCTGGGACGGTTGGTGCTTCCTCATTAAATATTCCTCCGCGGCGGCCGCCTCGGACGAATTGATTTCACCCTGTTGAGCAAGGTCCGATAAACGGTTAAAAGCAGGCAGTAGGTTTAAACCTTTCGCCAAACACGCGGATTTATGGGGTTCATCCGCGTGCTGGGGTCTCTCGGCATGGCAAGAATGGTCGCCACCCTCCACAAGTCCCCTCCGAACACCGTTAATCGGGGGATTCGCATCGTCGTACCGGTCGACGTCGCCAAAGGTCTGCGTAGCGGCGTTATATCGGCTGCCCTGCGTCCGATGGAGAATATCCAACATCGTGTTTATTTCATTTTCCTTTTGTTTTAGGCTGATTTGTAGCTGGTCAATCTGCTCCTCGTACGCCTTCGCGGTCGATATCCCTACAAACTTGGTACCCCCACCCTCCCGATTGTGTTTGGGGCAGAGCTGTGGGCTGCCATTCGCCTCAGAGCCCAGTGGGGAGTCCGACCGCTTCACGAACCCACCATTGGCGCTACCGGATTCCCCCAGAATCCTGCGTTTCATCAGATCAAAACAGTAATAAATGCGCACCATTTCCCCTTCAAATCCCTCAATCCGACTGCCTCCTCCAATGTACGCATCCACCATAGTTCGGCACAATATCTTTTCCTCCTCGCTCAGCTCGCGGTCCACGCCGCCCCCTTTTCCCTCGCCATTCTTTTCGTAAAACGCCAGTTGATCCTTTAACTGGGCCACCTCTGCTTTGAGCTTCTTTAGAAGTAAAATCGGGTCGGTTTCTTCATTAATGCGTGCGTCCTGCTTGATAAGGGCCACCCGCTGCGCAAAACTGCAGGTGCTGATCGTCTCCGCCAACGCCGCCTTCGATAGATGGGCGGTGGCCAACATGCTCGTACGACAATTCCCCCCAAGGCTATCGCGCAGTACCATCGTCAAGAAGGAATTTCGAAAGGGCACATGATCCCGTTTACCTTTCGCTTGTTCACTCAAAGAAATGATCACGTGCTCGAGATAATGAAGCGAAAGATTAATATACTTCACCTCGGACAGGATTACGCCCCCCACACCGGATTTGCTAGCACGCTCACTACCTGCCAAATCCACAAGGTTGAGTTTGGAGCGACGCACCACCGAAGACCCCACCACGCGGGCCTCCAGTGAAATGGTAAAAATGCAATGGGAGCGAGAGGACGTGCGATTCATTGGCGTTTCACAGTACAATCGGTTGGTATCCCCTAAAAATAACAAATTGAGCGCGTCGGTCAGCGTTGGGGCGGCGTGCTGCTGAAGACCTTTCAGGACCACGACCAAATCCTCCTCGGCGCCGGTGGTGGCCTCGTGAATCGTGACGCTCGGGAGGTCCTCCAGCGTCTTCGCGTCCTTCCCGTGGTTGAGCAAATCCTGCCCTTTGTCGTTGTAGATCTGAAGGTAGGAAATGCTCACGCTCCAGAAGCAGTCCTGCTGACGTTTCGCGACCTCGTCGTAGATCAACCCCAGCGCCCGGGGGATCACCCCGCGCTCGTCGTAGCTTTCGGTCCCGCCGGTGATGGAATAGGTCTTCCCACTCCCCGTTTGGCCATAGGCAAAGATGGTGCTGTTGTAGCCTTCCAGAACCGACATCACGCAATCCTTCGCCACGACGTTAAAGACGTCCTCCTGGGTTGACAAGGGCTCGAAGACGTGGCGGAATTGAAAGCTAAAGTCCTCCACGGAGTTGTTGACGATGTCGCCCTCGCTGTGGCGATTGACGTGGAATTTGAGCCTTGAGCGGCCGCTAAAGGAGGGCTCGAGAACATAACTGCTGAGAGAGCTCTCGCTTGCGGAGGAGCCCAGGATGCTGCTCTGCGCGATGGATATTTGTGGTCGAAGCCGCAAATAAACCCGAATGGCTTCCTGATAACCCATTACGTACTACGTGCTATGTATTGGAATTTCCATAAATATAAAACATAACCTAAAAATGCAGTTTGGCACCTTCTTGAGTCTATATAAGGAGCCTTTCCGAAGGGTTGTAGAGGAGGGGGAGGGGGAAGAGGTTTATGTCTCTAATCAACTACAAATGAAATGATAAATAGAACGTTTTAACTATATAAAATGGTAACAAAAGTATTGTTCATTATTTTTTATCTGGCTAATTCCAGGTTTATATATTTCACTATGAATTCCCAAACAAGCAAAATACAAATTAGTAGATACTCATGATAAATAAATAAATATATATATAGAGATATAATAAAGAAAGTGTTCCATAGTTTTCCCGTGCTCTCGGCACAGTATTTTCGGGAAGGAAAATAAATAAAGATGAATACACGAATCTTACTTTTAATTATTCAAACTCTTCAACTCACAAGTAGGCATTGTTGAGAAGGAACCCATATCGCTCAGTCAATAAAGTAGCAGTTCGTCCACGAATTACGCTATTGGGCGTCGGCAGAACCGTCGTATCGAGCACTACGGACATTTTCTCCGCGTTGGGAGCGCCGTCTGACGGATTTCCCTCACATTTGGGATAACCCCACGCCGCCGCCTCGCCATCGCTCTTGTCAAACCAAAAAGTATCTGGCGTATACCGCATCCACCAACACAAAAGCTGGCGGAGCCACACGAGAAGTAAACGCGCGCGCACCACCCCCGCGGCGTCATCCATCGCCTCTCCCTCAGCAGGGCTGTTGACGATATCATCCGCCTTCTCGAGTTGGGGTTCGTTCGTCTGCTCCTCAGAGGTCGCTTGTTCGCCAGTAGGCATAGAATCCCCAATCTTACCAGGAAATATTAAACTCACACGCAGATTTTCCTCATGAAGTGCAGGGCGTGGGGAAGAGCCGCCGGGGATTTTGTGGGAAGTCCCGCCCTGAGTCGTCGACATCGCCAGGATGGTGGCCATGTGCGGGAAGTACGTCGTGACCGCATCAAACTCCTCCGGCTTAACATTCAACCCAGTTTCCAAGGTCTTTCCGTGCATTCTATTTTGATAATTGTTTGATTTTTTATGATTCGCCTCATAACTCTCCCCATTATCGTTGGTTTTGCTCTTTGGTGGTGTCTCAAGGCCTTTTTTCCTTTCTAATCGGTTGCTAAAATAATGGAGCGCTGTTAAAGAAACCAAAAGCGCCGCCTCGATGAGCGTCGGGAGAATCGCCTCCACTTCCTGCAGTAAAGCATGGGATGAGGATGGGGTTGCAGATGATAATTTGGCGTTTGATGGAATGGAAAGTGGGGTTGAACTGTGCGGTAGAGCGGAAGGACCAGACATTAAAGAAGAAGAAAAGCCGCAAGCGCCCCCAACCCCCGTTTCCGGATGGGATTCCGTTTCCTTCGCATCCGATTCCCCGCGACCGCAAACGCGCACACCCTGAAAAGGGTCGAGGGGATTATTGGGATAGCCAGCATATTCGACAGCCTCATCATCGGTCAAGGCCTCCGCGTTTGCGTTTTGGATTGTATCGTGCACAATAAATAGGTAAAATAACAATTGAAAACACATGATATGCATACGTATCGCATGGTCGGCATCGCCGGAAGGAAGTTCGTGTGGGCCCTCACCCGCCCTCAGATTGGGACTCGCGGTTTCCCCTTCGACTTTATCTCTCTCCAATGCACGATCGGTCGATAAAGACCTTTCTTTCTGGGCCTCCCCCGCGCATTCGTAGGCAAGTTTTACCACCGCATCGAGAAGAATACTCCAAGTGTGCAAGGCCGCATGGTTATGCTCCACTGCAAAGATCATCCGTTCGGCGATGACGTCGCTGTTTAACAACGAATGTTGAATGGACTCCACAATGCCTACCAAATGAGCTGAGGCTTCCGGGCTGGGATCCGTTTTTGCACGTTTAAGGAATGGCGGCAATGTGCTTTCAAGCGGCGTGGAATGGGAGGGAGAGAAATAATTCTCTTTTGGATTCTTCATAACGTCCACGACCTCGGGGGGGAGCAAGGTTTCGATGTTTAGCATTGCCTGCCATTTTTTTTCGTCCGCCTCAGATAGCGTGACGAACACGCGCCCCTCACGGACGGTCTGTCGGGAAAGCCACGTCGCCGATGGAGGAGGTAATTCAGAGGCCCTTTCGCGTCCTTTTTCGCCGTCAACTTCACGCGATGGGCGTGAATCCGGCGATGTCGTTTGCGATCCGCCCTGGGGATCCCTCGGTGACGATCCGAAGGCCTTCAACAGACACCCTGGCCCCGCCGCGATCGCGGGGGGAGGCACCCACGCATACGCCTTGGATCCACTCCGCTCCATCTGAAAGGGCTCCGCGCGCCACTCCAGCATAGTATCCCCCTGCAAAAGCGAGTACAAACGCCAACGGTAATAAAGCACTCGAGGATCATTCCACGGGGCACGCAAAAAATCAAAATGTGGATTACTCCGCTCGCGAAAAAGGAGCTCCTCCTCAAAGGTCGGCCCCCCTTGGATGACAAAGCTCGCGATGAGGTCGAGCAAGCTCGTGATCGACACAGGCAAATCCGTCGGAACGCGAAGGAGCGGCGCCCCGGCGGTGATCGAAAAAATTGGCGGAGAAGGCGCATTTGTGGAGCCGGACCCCCCCCCTGAAGACGATTCCACCCCATGCCGTGAGGAATTCCCCTCCCGTTCGTGATGAGATGCGTAGGATTGATTGACCGATGGGGTTAACATTCCCCCCCTCGACCCCGGAGCCCGCGCTGTCGTTTTTAGAGCTTTTGGTCCCGCGATATTATTGCCACCTCGCGCCTTTTGCGTCGAGGCATCTACCTCGGCGTAGTGAAATGAAGATTTTCGCGGCTGTGAGGCGGAATGAGGGGGATAATGCAAGCCAGGGGGTCGCGGCGGCGATGCCGACGACGTCGGCGTAGGCGCCGCGAGGATGCTGTCGACCCCTCGGCCCGGATACAAAGTCGCCACCCCACTTCCCGGCCCGGAAAGGGAAGCATCACCACGATCCGCATTTGCCGCCGTCGACGAAAGCCGCTCCACCCCGCCTCGTTCGCCCTCATACGCCTCGGCCTCCACCCCGGAAGGCCCTACTTCCGTGTAGCCCTGCCATTCCTCAGTGAAATAACCCCCCTCCTCCCCCCTTTCATAAGCGTAGGGCCATTCCGAAGGATAACATCCGGGATCGTTCTGGTAAAAATTCCCGCTCATGGTTGTATACGGGTCCTGTGAAGGATCCATAACTTCCTCGTCATGCCAATGCGGTGGAAATTGAGGGCAAGGGGCATAATAAGAGGAAGGAGGATTCTGATGATAGCCCTGGACATCGCCGTGTGGGGTTGGGTCGGCATAGGGGTTGATATATTCGCCGTTTCCAGGGGGAGCCATGGTGGGATCCTGGCTTGGATGATAGCCCCCTCCCCCCCCGACATGATAAATCGGCTCACCGGAATGGAAGGGCTCACCAAAACCGCCCGCTGGGGGGTATCCGGAGAGGGGAAAAGCCTCCGCTGGTCGGTGTCGCCGAGGATGCATGACGTACCCTCAAGGTAGGACCGTGACAACAACAGGAAAAATAAATAAATAATAATAATTGTAACAACTGTGACAACTGTAGTAATAGTAACAACTGTGACAACTGCAACAACTGTAACAACTGTAGTAATAGTAACAACTGTAGTAATAGCAGCAACTGTAGTAATAATAACAACTGTAACAATTCCCCGTGTTCAAGAAAGAATACGAGCAAAATGGTGCAAAATAAAAGATGAAGTAAAAGAAGTAAATGAACCTTTAACGACGTGCCACACTTCCTTGGATTGGTTCGTAGGGGTTTCTTTTTTTTTGCATTTGATGATATTGAAATTTTTTTGAAGGAAAGGAATGTTCAAGAGTGTTGTTGAGACGAAAAGAAAAAAAATCTAAAAGCTAGTCGGATCAGTCATCATACTGCAGCAAACCCGAGGCAATCCACATCACAAAAATGAAATGGTAATTCAAATAATAATACGCATAATCATTAACAAGCGAAACGCTTATAATTCGGCTATCGCCTTACGCATTTAGCGTGGCTCGGATCCCTTTTGATTTGCTAAAGGTGTAGCGCAAGAACATCTTGTTTATTAAAATCGACACGTAAAAGTAGAACATTTATCTTTTCCTTTGCGGTTAACGCCAGGTTGTGCGCCTCCTCCAATGCATCTCGCGGTGAATCCGATAGAAGGAGTGTAGATGTCAAATTAAGCGGGGCAAACGCGTCGCGAAGCGAGACTTCATGCGCTCTGGAGGTAAAGAAAGAGCGCAAGGCCCGCACGTCCTTATCGAACTGCAAAGCCCCGAAGCTGTTGAATTCCTTCCGAGCCAAGCCCAACCGCGTGAAGTTCACGGTATGCGTCGCCACCAAAAGAAGGAGGGAATCGAACAAGACCGGGTCCAAATATTCGCCCACGTAGTCGAGCATGGCGGCCCAATCCTCCAAACACCCCTGCACCCACGGGTCCCGCAATTCGTAATGGTAAAAGGTCGTCTCGGAGAGTTTGTACGACTGCGCGAGAAATCGCTCGAGGTGGGTAGGCGCCATCACGGCCTGCCAACAGGCCATGGCGTCCTTTGCGATCCAGTCCGTCAGGACGCAGCGCTCCTGCAGGTCGTGCGCGAGGAGGTCGATGTCCTGCGCGAGTTCGCTAAAC